GAGACAGAGTCTTGCTGTGTCATCCAGGCTGTAATGCAGTGACTCAGTCTTGGCTCACTGCAACCTCTGCCTCCCGGATTCAAGTGATTCTCCTGCCTCAGCCTCCTGAGTAGCTGGGACTATAGGCGCACGCCACCATACCTGGCTAATTTTTGTATTTTTTAAATAGAATCAGGGTTTCACCATGTTGGCCAGGCTGGTCTTGAACTCCTGACTTCAACTGATTCACCCACTCAGTCTCCCAGAGTGCTGGGATTACAGGCAAGAGCCACGATGCCTGAAGTTATTAGACTCTTAAATGGCTGAACCAGGCTCAGTCCCCAATGTGTTTTACTCCAAAGCCTATAGTCAAACCATTTCTCCTCTGACTTTATCAACAGTTACAAAGCAAAACATAAAGCTTACTTTTTGTTCTGTCTTTAACATATTTGACCTTTATAAGATATAACAGTCTTTCATGCACTACTGTCTTCATCCAGCAACCTTCACTTCATATGATGTTATATTCCTTAACTCTTTGTGCTTTGTATAGAATCCCTGCCTATTGAATGGTAGGGGGTAGCACAGCTCCTTTTTGCTCCAGGGAGCTGTAGTGAGAAGCAGACAGTGGGACTTGCATTCTTTTTGGCAGTAATGTGGCTTTCTGTCCACTGTATAAGTAGCTCTGAAAATTCAGATATTCAAGAAAATTATTTCTGGTACCTAAAGATCGTGGGGTTAGAGGGTATTAGGTAGAGACAGATTAAAAGGTGGAGAGAATAGGATTCCCGTGGGGTCTGGGGAAGGAAGGAGCCTCAGATATGTTTAGTAGTGATAGCTTGATAACCCAGAAGGGCCAGCAGCATTCAGAAGCATTCAATGAATTGATAGCAGCCAGTTCAACCAGTACCTGTTGTGATCAGCTGACTGTTTAGGAAAACTTTAAAACAGATTCTGCACCTTTTCTTTGCACTTATAGGAGACACTTTGAGACTCCGAACAATTCTGGAAGCAATACAGAAGCACATTCATTCTTCCTCCCTTATCTTCAAACTGGCCCAAGATGCATTCAAGATTGCTACTCCCACTGACAGTAGTACTGACAGCACTCTGCTCAACGTTGCCCTGGAACTTGGGTTACAGGTATGGAGGAAGATTGAGCCATCCCCAATTTAGACTTCTGACCTAGTGACAATTGGCAGAAGATAAGATCTGCGGAAGACTGGGCATAGACCAAGCCTGGTTCCTTCTTTGTGCCCAGAACACAAGTTCTAGACTAGGGAAAAGGCAAGAATTTCATAAATTGGGCTCCACTTTTAAGGCCAGAAGCAAGATATAGCTTTAGGCTCTGTGGGGTCCCTGTCTTCTCTCTTCCTCCCTATTCCTACAAGTTAAGCAAGGTATGATAATAAGGACTTTCTGCAGATCATCAGAGAAGCCTCCTCTCTGATTGGTGGGAGGGCTGGGAAAGAAATTAAACTTGTACTTTATCGGGGAGAAACCACTGTTTAAAGCACCAGAAAATATTTGTTGCATAAATGAATGGCAAGGGGAAAGAGAGGTCACAACAGTTAGGCATGGCCCACTGACAAGGCCTCTTTTGTGCCCAGGTGATGCGGATGACCTTATCAACCCTTAATTGGAGACGCAGGGAGATGGTACGATGGTTGGTGACCTGTGCTACAGAAGTGGGTGAGTCTCCCACCTCCCTCTACCCCCAGGGAAAAGGAGTTTCTAGGCCCTACTCTTGGGACAGGACAGTGAATCCTTAGAACTCTCATATTCCTATTCCTGATGGCCTAAGAAAGGATGGGGCTGCTGGTAGAAGATGGCCTCTGTTCACCCAGCCCAAGCCCTGTCCTCACTGCTTGAACCATATCCTGTTCATTCCCCCATCCCCCTTGCTGTCATATCCTGATGTCAGCAGCACTTTGATCCTCTCATCAGAGACGTGTCTATGAGAATGAATTTTCAGCTGCTACTCAAGGGCTCCCTTGGGAGGTAGTGGGCCCAGTGGTTTGGTCCCCATCTCTGTCCATGTTTGTGAGAAACCCCAGACAACTTGGAGGCTCAGGACTCTTTTAAAGCCCAAAGCCCCAGCACAAGACTCTACCTTAAGAGGCCCCACTTCAGCTAGAATCCCTGGCAGATCTGTAACCCATGCCTCAGGGCAAGCAAACCCCAGGCTCTACTGCCCCATCCTTGTGAGGGGTTAAGAGCACCTGCAGAAACCTTCAACCCTCTGACCTGGGGAAGGAAGGGATAGGAAGAGACCCCAAACAGGGTCTGGCCATCTGGGATCCTCTCCTTGCCCTGGTTTGCCTCAAATCATCTCAAGGTTGCTGAGGAGGGAGAACTCATCTCTGCAGGCCAAGTTCAAATCCCAATGGTAATCTGGGCAGACCTGAATCAGGACTCAGATGGCCACGGCTGAGCTCAGGCTCTCCCTGACAGGTGTGCGGGCCCTGGTGAGCATCTTGCAGAGCTGGTACACACTCTTCACCCCTACTGAGGCTACTAGTATTGTAGCTGCCACAGCTGTATCCCACACCACTACCCTGCGCCTCAGTCTTGACTATCCACAGCGGGAGGAACTGGCCAGCTGCGCTCGCACACTGGCCCTGCAGTGTGCTATGAAGGATCCACAGAGCTGTGCCCTGTCAGCCCTTACACTCTGTGAGAAAGACCACATTGCCTTTGAGGCAGCCTACCAGATTGCCATTGATGCTGCTGCTGGTGGCATGACCCATTCACAGCTGTTCACCATTGCCCGCTACATGGAGCTCCGTGGTTATCCACTACGTGCCTTCAAGCTGGCCTCATTGGCCATGAGCCATCTTAACCTGGCCTACAACCAGGATACTCACCCAGCCATCAATGATGTGCTCTGGGCTTGTGCTCTCAGCCACTCTCTGGGCAAGAATGAGCTGGCAGCTCTCATCCCCCTGGTGGTGAAGAGTGTGCACTGTGCCACAGTGCTTTCAGACATCCTACGACGCTGCACAGTGACTGCACCTGGCCTGGCCGGCATCCCAGGCCGCCGCAGCTCTGGAAAGCTCATGTCCACTGACAAAGCTCCACTGCGCCAGTTGCTGGATGCCACCATCAATGCCTATATCAACACTACACACTCACGCCTAACACACATCAGCCCTCGCCACTACGGAGAGTTCATTGAGTTTCTAAGCAAGGCTCGGGAGACCTTCCTGCTGCCCCAGGATGGCCACCTGCAGTTTGCCCAGTTCATTGACAACCTCAAACAGATCTACAAAGGCAAGAAAAAGCTGATGCTGCTGGTGCGAGAGCGCTTTGGCTGAGAAAGCAGATAGCTCACTGCCAGGGCAGCCTGGGTTCCCAGGTAGTATCAGGTCAGACCAAGGACACTGAAACATTTGTTCACCCTGAGAGGACTCTGAGCACCTATGGCTGAGGCCAAAGGACCACACGGCTAAGGATGGGGAGAATCCAACTCTAGTCGATATGCCTACCTTGGCAAGCTTCTTGCCACAGCCCACTGTTCATGGATGAGCTGAGCCCTGCAGATCGACCAGAAACCCCACAACATGCCACCTCATGCCCCTATATCCTGCATGTCCTGGGCATTGGCCTTGACTCCCTTGGCAAACACAGAACACTGTTCCGTCTCAGGGATTGCTTAACCAGAGAAACAGACATTTATGGTACTGTAAATACTATAGCATATGTGTTGCCAATTATTGTAAAGTTGTAACTATTTATAATTCTGGTTCTGATTTGATGGGCACTTGAAGTAGCTATGGGTGGGAGGATATGCTTATTTTCTGAGGAGACTCACAACCATTTCTCAGGTTTCCCTTGCAAAGTGTATGCTGGTAGCAGTGGAAGAGTGGGGTTGCCAAGGAGAAAAATGGCCAGTTAGAATCAATCCCAAGTCTAGTCTATGCAGAATCCCCTGCCTACAGACGGCATTTATAGCCCAGTGATGGGTAAGGGACAGAGGCCAGGACTGGACTTAGACATTAAAGCTCCTGCCTCACACAGCCTCTTCAGGAGCCTGCTGAACACCTGTGAAACAAGTGCAGGGAGAAGATGAAGGTCTGGGAAGCCACTGGGTTCATAATATTCATCTACTCTGGTCATCTTTGTGTTAGAGAGTATGTGGTTTCATCTATTATCATGTGTGTGTGTATCTGTATGGCTAAGTACCTGTGTCTGTGCATAGATATATCTGTGCATGCCTGTCTGTATGTGCACATATATGTGTGTGTATCTGTTTCAGTTTATGGCTGTATTCCTGTGTGAATATGTGCGTACCGGACTGTGGGTTTCTGTGTGAGGATATACACATTTTGCACACATGTGAGGATGCACATCTATGTGTAAATGCACTGTTTGTGCATGTTTCGTGTGTGTATATGGGCACACGAGTGCATGTGTATAAATACATTTGTGTCTGTGTGTATGCTTGAACTACACAGTAGTTCAACTCTGAAACTTTTATTGTCCCATGCATCCATGTCCTTATATGTGTAACTGAGTGTTTCTGCATGTAGGGATGTCTGTGTATTCATGCTTAAGGATCTGCCTGAATGTGTCCTTTCTTTTTGCCAGATTTCTCTGCCCCATTCCTCTTAAATCTGTCTCACCAGCTAAACGTTTGTTCCCCATCTCTGTGCCTCCTCTGTTCATTCTCTCACCAAACAAGCTTCTAAGCACCAGTCTCCCTCTGCCATCAGACTGGCTGCTTTAGCTCCATGGTTCTCTTCTCGCCCCATACTTGCTTTCTCCCCCTGCTTTCTACCTCAAGCTTCCTCTGCCTGCTCTTGTCACAGTCTTATTACTCACTGACTTGAGCCTTGTCCTGGGAAGCAGGGCTGGTCTGCACTTAATCTCTCCCTTCCTAATTTCTAGCCCCAGTGGGCAGCCCTGTCTTAGCCCTGGCAGACCTCCACAGTGTATCATGTTCCTGCTACCTTCCTGACCACTATGTTCAGCCTGGAATTGTTATAGGAGGTAGCAATGGCATTCAGAAGAGTCAGTTGGATGCCACTGTCTTGGTGTTAACTGTTTTATGTCTTAGTTCCTGAGTTGGGGGTGGGAGTTGATAGGGAAAGGGTGGTATAGCTAGACTGTGAACTAAGAACTTCATCCACTTTACTTTTTTTTCTTTTTTTTTGACAAACTGTCACCTTTTTTACTCCAAACTGACCAAGAAGTTGTATTTGCCGTTTGTGGCTACTCAAGTCTTACTGTCCAGCCAAGGGCCCCTACGTCTCAGCCCAATGGGTTGGTTAAAAAGAGAGAAGCCACTCTCATTTCTGTATCACAGTTGCCCTTTTTTAGCAAGTGTGTGAATTCACAGTGCTTTTCTATGAATAAATCGTGGATCACATAAAAGATCATTTTTCTAAAAGCAGAAATTGTGTTCTCTCAATAAATGAAACCCATCTCTCCCTTCTGCATTGCCCTGGCTGGGCCAGGGAGCTGGTTCAGCCTGCAGCACACTGGGCTCCTAGTGGTCCAAAGGGATACAGAATGATAAAGAATTTGCTATACCAGACCCTTCTCCAGAGCTTACAGACACCTCAGAGCCTTGTTCTGGGAAGCAGGTCCCACCAGGATGGGCAGAAACACCAAGATCTTGAGAAAATTAAAGGGGTTGCTCAGAAAAGAATATAAAGCAACCTGAGTGCCAGAGGGTCTTTTGGTTTCAGAGGACTTCTTGCCTTGGTGATGATGGACTTGTCTAAAGCTCCAATCCTAAGCAACCTAGCTCTGAGCCTTGATGTCCTCCCTATCTTTTGGTGTGAAAGCTGAGGTTCCCTCAGCTTCTCCCTGCTCACCTAGACTCCATCTTCTTTCCCATCCTTCTCTGAAGTGTTCTAACTCCTTCTGTGCTCCTCTTTGATGTATTCTTCCCTTCTTCCTCAGACATAAAGCCCTATCAATTTGGCCTTTATATGCTGTAAGGACCCCACCCATTTTTCTGCCAAATGTCACAACTTGAACTGCTAGGAAGCTCTACCCTACATCATGTAGTTGTGGGACTTAGGTATCTGAGAGTAAGATGGGAGTGAGGACCCTTAAGTGCTATAGTACATATTCACTGATACCTAACCCCCATGACTTGTGAAGAGGATATAGAGAGAGTTCCCAGGGAAGGAACAGAGGCTAAGAAGCAACTGAGGATATGGGCATAAGTCTTTCACAAACAAAACTACACAATAGTTCAACTCTGAAACTTTTATTGTCCTAGAAACAATCAATCATCTATGTAAGTGGTACTTGAGGGTAAATGTATGCACTCAGTTCTGTCGAAGTAGACGTGAGTGTCTATGCACAGCATCCACAAAGGCGCCCACGTGTTCTGGGTCCATGTCAGGATAAAGCCCATGGCCCAGGTTGGCAATGTAGCGTTGTGGTCCAAAGTCATCCAGCATCTGCTTCACCAGCTGTCCAATCTCCTCCTGGGGGACCAAGACGGCACTGGCTACAAGAGGGCCAGCAAGCCTCTGTCCTTTCTGTACATACTAGTGACAAACACATATGCAGGCATGCTTCTACTCAGTGTGAACTCATTCATTTGATAAAATTTATCAGATGCCTAATATGGGCCAGGCATGAAGCATAAACACAAATGAACAGCAACAAAAAGTCTAGCCTTGCTAGGGCTTATGTTGTACATACAGAGTAGGAGAGGACAGATAGGCATAAAAAAAGTACACACAGAATAATACAACCATATCCGCAGGAGTGCACAGAAACTCAGACACACAGAGAGGCCCTGGCTGTTACCTCAGATGCATACAGGGCACAGGGGTCCAGGTTACCCTGCAATGTCACCATCTTCCCCACACGCTCCCTGGAAGCAAAGCCAGTGCCACGTTCTAGTAACTGCATATATGGCAGCTTCCCACCCTCACCTCAGCCTCAAGGCCTCACCCTTCCATGGCTTACCGGGCTTTCTTTGGGGCCACTGTCCAGTCAAGCCCAACTACCTCATAGCCAGCTTCGGCCAGCTCCTCCAGGGCAAAATGCCCATCCTTAGCAAAGATGATCTGGAAAAAAGCAGATCACAGGCTACAGAGGGCCTTGCTACCACCACTAATCTTTCTTGGCTGTACCTCTACTGCTCTCCAATGGTCACTCCAGTCCATGCAGGACTTAGCCTGAAAGCTCCACAGGCTCACCTTCACTCAACCCATCCCAGTCCTCACCATGGGCACTGGTGCCAGGCCTGCTTCCTGCAACCTGGCCTTCACTTGCTTGGCCACATCACGGATGTAGGGCAGTGCAAACTTGTTGAAGAGATGTGGGCCAAGATGCCCTGCATGGGACTCAAACAGCTGCAATGCCTACAGGTAGGGTATGGTGAAGAGAAAAATGTAACACAAAGAGGAAGCACGTCAGGCCCCACATACAAAATCCACCTCAATTTTCCCCAGATGACTTCAATCCCTGATACTGTTCCAGTAAAATAATAATAGTAATAAGTTATATTTTCTTTACATCCCAGCACTAGCTTTGGTCTCTGAATACTCAGAGCATTAAGCCCCACTGCCAGTGTTAGCATGAGCTTGAATGCTCAGCTAGATCATTGGAGGCCAAGGTTCTTTCATGCGTGGCATTAAGACTGCCCTCTCAGGTTTAGGACACTCTTGCCTCTGGTCCTTACAGACCACATCCCAGCCTATTTGTCTCTTTCTCAGGACTCACCTGGGCACCAGCCACCACTTGTCCTACCAGATATGGGATCAGAGCATCAGTGAGGATGCGAAGCAGCTGGTGACTGGCCTGAGGTCTCTGATAGAGCCAGCGCTTGGCCTGAGCCATGGTGCTTGATCCACCACCCTCAACCATGTATGCCATCAGGGTCCACTACAGAAGGATAGAAAGTTGGTGTCATAAGTGCAGAAGCCAGACTGATACTTCATTCCTTTGTCTACCCCAGACCTGCCAGAGTGATCTCCCCATGCCCCCAGTCCCTGCCCTGTCCCACATTACTGGGGCACCAGCAAAGCCAATCAGCGGCACACGTCCAGCAAGTCGTTGTCGGGTAAGGGTGATGGCTTGGAACACATAGCCTAGCTCAGAGGCTACCACTGCTGGATCCCGTAGGCGCTCTAGGTCCCGCTCTTCTCTTAATGGCTCTGGGAAGCTGGGTCCTTTGCCAGGTACCATGGTCACCTCCATGCCCAGTGCCTGGATGGGGGGAAAACATCTGCGTTCCCAAAATGGAACTCCAGAAGGAAAGATTCTGTTCAGCCCATTCCAGGAGAAGGAAAAGGAGAATAAAACTGCCAAACTCATCTTTTTCAACCTTAGTTTTTCCCTCCATCCAGTTAGGATAAGTGCCTATTTTGAAACTTCACTGGACTGATAGGATTTTCAAGGGGTCCTTGGATTATATTTCAGGTTCAGGTTTGAGTGGGTACCTGGGGTACAACAAGGATGTCGGAGAAAATGATGGCAGCATCCAGAGGGAAGCGACGCAGTGGCTGTAGGAAATAGGAGACAGGTTGCTAGGTGGCAAGCTGAAGGCATAAATCTTTCCCTCTTTTGTGGACCCCTCACCTGCAGAGTCAGTTCACAGCAGGCCTCAGGAGAACGACAAGTGCTGAAAAAGTCCTGGGCTGCCCGGGTTTCCCTAAACTCTGGAGACAGAGGGAAGATGGGGCTCAGCCTTGAGGCCTTCCAGAGTACTCCCCTGCCCCTCAAAAACTTTTCACCCTCCTAAGTTTTATCTAGGTTTTCAGGCCCTGACTCTCACCTGGTAAGTAACGGCCTGCCTGGCGCATGCACCAAACGGGAGTGTAGTCAGTTTCCTCTCCCCAGGCTGCTCGCAGGAATGTGTCATTCTTCAGCTCCGGAAAACCCTTAAGTCTGGCGATCAGGTCGGGGTGGGGGTAGGTGTCAGTATGCTAGGCTGAAGGCTGGGGAAAGCGCGGGTTCATAAGGCCGATTCAGTCCAGGACCGCTATCTACCTCCTCCAGGCCGCCTGTTCCACCTCCTCTCTGCCTATCAGGTGGTGCACAAACTCTAGAAGGGCCCGCGCTGGGGCCTCTTCTCTCAACTTAGTCCTTACTCTCCCAAGCTCGAAGCAACTAGAGGGACTAGGGGTAGGGAATGAAGGCCCAGTAAGGATAGTCTGGGGGTCTTCGGACTAGAGTCTCAGAAACAGGGTTATCAGTGGGCTGGTTCATGGGCTGACAGATTTTCCAGGGTGGGAGATAGTCAAAGAGAAATCAAAGTTGATAGTCCCAGAATAGAGATCCTGGTTGGAAATCCTGAGGCATTCCTTGAATTAAGGTCCCTGGGATGAAGGTCTCAAAAATCCATGGTTTTAGGATTCAAGATCCCAGCTAACGGAGTTCAGGTTGAGAGAGCTCCAGGGTGGGGAAAGGGGCGTGCGGGGATAGAGTCCTGAGTTGGAAGGCTCAAATTAGAAGCCCAGCTAGCCACCCCGCGTGCTCTGGAGAACTCACCCCAACCCGTCCGCTTCCATGGTTAGCTGTAACTGCGAGCTCAATCCTCAATTTAACCTGAATCTGAGCCTGCCCCCGTCGTCTAGGCTCCGCCCCTTTCTGGAGGGCGCCAAGGGTGTCGCCATGTTGAAGATCACATGATCAGACTCCAGCGACAGCTCCTGGGCTGCCCTGGCTGCCGCCCGTAGGACCCCTACCTTTTTTCACCGTAAAGTCTGTTGTAGCGACGCAACAACAAACGCCCAAAAGAAAGAACTCCGCTGTAACTACATCTTACAGTGATATGAGGTATTTGTCCTCATCTGATGGTCTGAGTATGCCGGAGGCTTGGCGCAAGTCCCACTCATGATTCTAACAGTCTTATCCAACCAGGCATACTGAGAATGATGAAACCAGGCTGTACAGGAAACTGAAATCATCATGTACTTATATTACCCATTAAGAGCCTGGACCTGTAGTGGGTGCAGAGGTTAGCTTTCTGCTCAAGACAGCTTCGGCCTTTAAGGAACTACAAGACTGTGGGGAAACAGAAATCAGCAATCACATTAAAATGAATAATGATCACCAGTGGTCTTGGGATTAGGCAGGGTCAACCCAAATGACTCAAGACTCCTGTCAGTAACAGGAAAAAGGGCCATTCTCTCAAACATTTTAGTCACACCATCCATAGGATAGGGAGTCTCGCAGATTTTAAAACGACTCGTTGGAGGTGGGAGGAAAAACAGCAGGCCGAAGGACCAGAAAAATGACTGTTGCAAAGATCCGGGTTAGACAGAATGGTGACTTGAATAAGGGTAGTAGCAGTAGAGATTAAATGGTAGCAGCAAGGAAATGGAGAGAGGGAGATCAATCAGGTAGAAATCACCGATCTTGGGTTTAGTCGGCTGGGCTAGGGTGGCACAGAGGCAGGTAATATGGTTGAGTGTAGGA